ACAAAACAACTCCCATGATAAACACTTTCCAATTTCATACCAAAAAACAGATTAATTTAATAAATCCTTTTCTTTGGAATAATATCGAAGCAAACTTTTACCTTATGTAATCGTAGAACCTCAAGTAATGGATTTTCGGATTCCACGAATACACGATCTAATATTGTCTCGCATAATTCCATCTAAAGCAAACATTAACAATTAAAGGTGAACGAATGAAATTCAAAGAAATTAATTCAACGGAAAAATGTTCTTTACAGATTATAAACTCTGAAAGCTTTTCACTTTTTTTGCTGCAAAAAGTTATGAACTGTCTGACTTTACAAATTATAGGTTTTCTGAATCATTTGAGTAAGCAATTAATCAAAGCGATCAAGCGTGCAATTAATTTAACATCTCGCTCAAAATGATACCGTATCTACCTTCCAAACACAATTCAGTAATTCAGACAGTGAACGAAACTCTTTAAAACACATACTCCCTCAATACTGTTTGAATTGCTGACTTTTATTCGACCGTATCATTTATTGCAAATTAACCTAATGATCTGAATAACTCAATAGGATTATTTGGCCGTAATTAAACCTATTAGTGCCCATTGATTCTAATTCTATAATAATCCTCGTAAGTGCTATATCTCTGTGCATTTAGCAAAAGATTGCTCTAATCCTTTCATTTCAATGATTCAATTAAGCATTCTAATAACGTCCCGACTAACCGAAGTTTATCACTTCTATGAACATTACTTAATGATCCTCGACACTCAGAAAAATGCTAGACTCTATCCCTCTTAAGCCAATACCTCAAATCGCGAAACCATTAAACGAGCTTTACGAGCTCTCACCTTCATGTCCTTATTGTCAGCCACCCAAACGTCTTTCAAAACTTTTCGCCATGTTCCCAATGGCTCATCCAATGGTGGTGGTTTATATTCTTCTTTCTTCTCCTCCTTGGTCTTCTTTCGTGGCTGATCCGGTTGATCCGATTCACTCTTAACGGCTTCGTTTGCTGATGTCGTTTCTGTTTCCATGGGGTTTTCAATCGAAGTTTGTGCTGTCTTTTCGGTGTCACATCCATTTTGTTCATCGGTAGATTTACTGCATTCCTGGTTGACGATCTGTGCCGCATCCTGTTGTGCCATCGAACAATCATTTGACTGTTTCTGTTCAAGCTGATTCTGATTCGCCGTGTTAATGATATCGCAAGAAGATTGTGACATCGCTGGAGCTGTGCGATTCTCCTCACTGCTTGCAGCTATCGGACTTGATGCCAGTTCTGCTTCATTTGTACTTCCAGGCGATTTTTGCTCATTGTCGCCTTCATTTGGCATGACTGCTTTCTGGATTTACTGGTGACGACGATGTTCAATAGTATATTCTACTTTGATGCGATGCTTTTGAGCAAGAATTGAATGGTGTTTATAGTGAAGATGAATTACTTCGGTAATAACGACACAATAGGGTGCTACCTGAAATTCTTGACTAGATTAAATCTCTACTCATTTCGAAACGAGCACATTCTCGCGACAACACGAACAGAAACACGCGTGATTAACATTTATCAGTGAGTAATGACTATAAAACATACCAACGAAAATCACTGCTACCTAATTGATGCTTATAAATTAAACGAAACAATAATGATATCGTTAATAAAGGAAACACTGGTCAATATAACAATAATAATACTAATAATAACAATAATAATAATAATAATAACA